AATATGTATAACATATATACATTTTCTCTTCGATGATAGAAATAATAATTGACTTAATGAAAATGTAAATTTCTTTCTTTTTTCTTCTTGTTCTCACTCTCTCTTTCTCTCTCTCTCTCTCTCTCTCTCTCTCTCTCTCTCTCTCTCTCTCTCTCTCTCTTTGTCTTTAACTCTCCCAATAAAAGAAAATAATCTCTCGTCTTAAAATGTTTGCATTTCTCGTGCGCATGATTAAACATTTATCGTATCACCCTGCGATGTAAGAGTTTCATAAGCAAGAAATTCCTTACTGCCTTAATCTCAAATATCCTTCTCTTATTCGTAAGACCACCTGGTACGTATACGCATATACTTACACGCACATTCGTGCATACATACAAACGTTTTCGTAGAACTCGATAAGTCTCCAGCTGCTTTAGGGTCACGAATAAATGAATCATAATGAAAAACTCCGGCTTGTGTATACGATCGAGATAGACGATTGGGAAGACCTTTCGTTCAAATGCTTTTAAAAGATGTGTCGCGTTCGTGCTTTTTTCTCTAAGGAAAAAAAAAAAAAAGATAATAAAAATATAATAAATTCTTTTTATCGAACAAATATCTACAAGGAAAAAAAATATTACACAAAATAATATTTAAAATTATATTTGAAAGGAACATTATTTTGTACTACAAAATATTATAAGAGGAGGAGAAAGAAAATTCAAATACTTCGTATATAAATTTTTAATACGTGCGGTGTGTTCGTGCATTCGATAAACGAAAACTTATCATATTTTATTTCTTTATTTCCATGGAAAGAAACCACTTCCCCTATAAAACATAAATTTCCTATCGTAGTAACTGTCTCTTATGTTATTCTATATCTTCGATATTAACCAACGGAAGTCGTTGAAGCGATGTTTCAAGTATTTGCGATAACCTGAACAAAAAAATACTTTAAACAAAAGTTGATCTGTTTTGATTGACTATACATTGCAATAGAAAAAAGTTCGAAAAACATTTTTTATACTTATAGCAAGCGGATTTTAATGATTTTTATATTAAATTAAAGTACACTATTTTGTCTACGCGTAGAATACCATATCGAATTATAAATTTAGCATGTAACCTTCATAAAATGTCAGAGAATGCAATGCTGTAAATTGTGCATCTTTGCACATTCTACACATGTGCAACGTTCGAAGAGTCATATAAACAATTTTCAATAAAAGTATTTTCACAGAGGACAATGATCCATTTCACCGATGGATTTCGAAGAGGACGGAGCTCCGAACATATATTCCGAGCTTCTAGACAGCAATAGATACTTCTATCGATTAATTAACAATTATTTAAGGTATATCTAATACTTTAATATACTCTATTTATATTTAGGATTGTTTAAACTAAAATACATTTGTTTTAACGTTTTTTGACTTAGTGATGACTTCGAGTTAAAAATTATCATTTAATAAAATGTCAAATGTTTAATATTCGTAATATATTAATAGATGTGTACTATGAAAATTATTCTTACTTTAAAACGCGTATTCTTTGATATATTAATCCGTAAAAAATAACTGCAATGTTGTTGGATTATCGAAAAGACGAAAATAACAATTAATTGTAACATTTTATTGACATCTTACATTGATCGGAGATAGAATTTGAAATTGGGTCAACATATAATGCTACATAACGAGTGCGAATGGCAATGATCCGTTTCTTATTTTCTTTTCTTTTCAGTTTTTTTTTTCTTTTCATTTAATTATTTATTCATTAAATTAAGACCAAGAGCAAACATATCTGGAACATCTGTCAGAACTTTGTTTCTTTTTTCATTCGTCTTTTTTGAATTGGTTCGGCTTTTATGTTTCGTCGTTGGTATTTGAACGACTTTATTACGTGGTGTAAGTAAAGACGGTAAAGGTGGTACATTAACTGGAATGTTTGCAGTTCTCTTATATTTTTTCATAGCATCACGTACTGCTGTGTGGATGATCTATAACGAACAATAAAATAATTAATCAGCAAATGTCATATTTTTGTAATATGTGATGCAAAAATTGTGAGAAAAGATATTTTTACAACGTGGTCCTCATGTAGCATAATTTTTTTAATTTGGACAACCCTAATTTGGCATGGATTATATCGTTTTATTTTATTTAACAAATTTAATTCAATTGATTTATACCTTCTCTTCGTTTCTTTTTAATGATTTGTTTCCTTTCGGTACAACGTAAGATGATTGCTGCTGCAAAGCCATGATTTTCGAAAGTAAAGTCTGTTTCGGTGATGACACTTCGTGGTTAGCATTCGTCATGATAGGACTGCCACGTATTTTCTTCGTCATTTTTTGATTTGATGATTTTTCCTTGTAAGTTATCTTAGAGTGATTCTGTTGTAGATATATATATATATATATATATATACATATTAAATAAAATAATAAATTAATAAATATATAAATTATATAAATACCTGATCAAAACGAGATTGTTTCGTACACGCACGAGTACGAACTGTCCCAGCAGACGTACTTTTCGACATTCTGTCTGGTTTTTCAAGCGGCACCGATGATTTCGAAGTTATTGGAATAACTGGTGCCGTTGCTGGTAATGCTTGTCTGTGTTTAGGAGATTCGTTTTTATAATAAGAATAAAATTCTTGATCTAATTGAATTTCTAATTCCTCGATCAAATCGACGATCACCGGACCGATCTGACTATGTACGACGGATTTTTTCTTAGCCAGAGGAATCTGTGATCGAATAAATAATCATTTTTAATAAGCTTATATATACAAGATATTGTATTTCGTAATTATTATATTAATAATATTTTTACCACAGGAGTTTTTGATGTAAGACTCGTTTTCGAATCGTGCAAATTCCAATTAGATTTTTTTTCACTCGTAGGAATACGAGTACCTTGAAGAGATAATGCAGCTCCTAAATAGGGTTGACAACTTGGCATTCGTTGTTTGTATGCTAATTCGAATTGTCCTGTATCGGCGTTCTTATTTTCTTTATAATCGACAACCACTATCAACGCGTGCAAAAGAAAATATATAAAAATTAGATTAGAAATTGTAATATTATATATCTTAAAATCGTTACCTTTGATAGTATCTTCCATAACTTGTCTGCATAAACGCGTAGTCACGCTACTGGAATAACTCATATCCGGATGACTGTTAATTTCGATAAGCCATACTGAAAAATCATCCATAACCATAAAATCAGCACCGTATAATTCGAAACTATTTTTTCTACGATCCATAGCTTCTTGGCTAGCCAAAAGTGATCCAACTAATCCTTGTTTCATGCCAGGATAAATTTGCTCGTCCCAAGCATTCCCATGACCAAGAGATCTTCGATAAATTTATCATCGTTTCGTTAATAAAAGTTGCTTGATTTTAAAAATAGAGCAAAACACAACAATTAATACAAAATTATTAATCTTACTTAAGATATTCTTTGAAAGTGGTAGCATCCCACATGTTATCTACCGGAAGTGCTGGATCTCTATCAACGCAATTTTTATATTTGCATTGAACCGCGTGATTGCAGAGATGAATCGATTCGTGAAAATCCGTTAAGCAGAATTTTTGCGAACAAAATCGTAGATAACTTTCCCTAAAAATAAAAGGGAGATATTTTTCTATCGAAGTTTTATCGTAAAAGATTTAGAACGTTCGTGTAAAACCTTCTTATAATATTTCAAACCTGTTGCACGCGTCTCAGTCGTTCTATGTCATCGATTTAATATCAAACATCTAATATATTCACTTACTATTTTTAAATTGATTTCATCTCGAATATAGAACCTGTTGCACATTATTTCTTTTTACATAGATTTATATTTAAACTTAGATTCGTAATAATTTTTCATGAAAATGTCACGAAAATTAGACTAACTAAACTTTTTAATTCTATGGTATTATCCTAAATAACAATTACTTGATGATAAATCAAGCTTACATTTGATGGCACTCCGATTTCTAAGTATAGAAATAAATGTGAATGTTCTCCTTGGACTATAAACTTATCAGAATATATGTACACAAATTAAGGATAATTACTGAAGAAGCGTACTTCTAATGACGCATTTCAATGCAAAAGAAGAACACGGAATGCGAGGCACGAAAGTTTGCTGTTACATAAAAGAATACGTCCAATGAAAGTTGTTAAGGTACGAATTAATAATTAACCTAATTCTTCCTTTTTTTTTTTTTCTAGCTCACCTTAAATGTTGACTTATTTTCTGTATATATATATGTCTGTATGTACGTATACGTGTATAGGTATAAAACTTACTTAAACATCCATAGCGTTAAGGGTTGGGCACACGTCACGATGAACCATTGTCTTATATCAAATTTTGTACTATAGATGAGAAGTGGTCGTTCTAATAATAACAAAGTAAAAATCGATTTTCAACAATTAAAAAGGTGTGTATACTCTTTTAATTGAAAAAAATAATGATTAAGTACCAATATATTTTTGAACGACGTAACGTGCATCTGCTTTGGTCGAAGGATTAACTTTTGCAATAACATGGTCCAGTTTGTTCATCAATACGATCCCACGACCACGACTTTTATTTCCCGGTTTTAAAATCCACACATTCATAATACCGTCCATGTCTATCTGTGGCCAATACTTTTTAATTTTTTTCAACAAATGCCGTGCCGCCAGAAAATATTTCTATTTTAAATAACAAATTTGTATAATTTCTTTTTTGGAAAATGTCACAAATAAGAAAAAGACACGTTTCAGCTTACGTGAAAAGGTACATTATTGCGAATGAAAAGAGCATCGTCTTGAACAATCTTGTAATACCATGCAATAAATTGATCCCATTGATGAGACCAAATCTTTTCAGTTTCCCGATCGATGTCTTCGTGCGATTGTGCGCTGATATAATCGCTGCATCTTTTGATTGCAAAGTCAAGAGCTTTCAACGGTATCGTACCTGTTGGTGATCGCGTTGCATTCTCACCTTCGGTATCGATTTTGTCTACCAACCACTTCAAGAGACTGAGGCAAGCGGTAAATCTGATCGGAAGTAAGCATTTTATTAATTTTCCTATCGTTTATAATCTATATTCTCTTTTTCCGATATTACTTTCATTATATTAATATTTAATTTCTTCACATTTGTGTGTTTTGTATCATTCGAATATTAAGTTCTTACCGAAAATCTTCAATAAATGCGTGCATCTGATCACCCTGACATAAATTATAGCAACGTGGAAATAAGGTGTTAGCTACACCAGCTTCGTAATACCAATGCATCTGTCTGACGTTTGAACATAGACCGATCTAAATATTTAGATTAAAAATCGAAATATTATCTATAAATTGATCTCAATATGTTTTCTGTTAATATAATTAATTTTTATTTTCTCCTGGTCATATTAATGATATTTAGAAAAATTGATAGTCACCTTAGAAGTAAAACCAGCGCGATAGTACCTATTGAACACCGTGGTTTTATTTTCTTGGGAAGGCCAACCAGGCCATTCCGATCCTGTATTCCATAGAAAATCGACGGTGTGGTTACTCAGCATTCTCGATATTAATTGTCGTTCGTTTTGTTGATCTTTTAAGTCGCCCATACCCCTCAATAATATTACTGGATTAGACTCGACGTTTAGATATTGTTCGACTAAAAAATTCCATTGAAAAAAAAAATTAAAAGAACATTTAATGATAAGAATTAATTAATACCAATGAATTATACCATTGGAATTTCTTCTGAACAATTTTTCGCACCATCCTCTCTTCAGCAAAGTTTCACGAATCACTTTTGCTCTCCCGTATATCATAAAGGTGTGATGAGCATTAATAGCATCTTTTACTTTTTGTTTAATACGTACAAATCTTTCTTGAAGTGTTGGTGATAATTCCGTCGACAGTTCTGACTGCAAAACTTCACAAGGGGAGTCTAGTGAAGTTAAATATAAAAAATATGCATGTATATATTAATATTTCATTCTGATGTATAATAATTAATATTTTTTATACAAACTATATTAAAACACAAGGAGTTCGAGATGGTATTCTTATTTCGATATTTATTCGACTAAACATTTTGTTACTATAACTTAACGATAATCATATTATTTTTAAGTCTTTATAAAAAATAAATATATATATATATATATGAAAAAGAAACCTGTGGGTTTTTCCTTATCTTTTTTATCGTCATGATGAATGTCTGACTCGTTGTCAAGCTTTACGACAGGAAAATGATCAATGTTTTCCGTATGTTTTATTTCTGTTTTTTCTTCACCGAATTTCCAGAAACTCGGCGGTGCATCGTTGATGGCATTCATGTAGCGCACCTGTTAACCGGCGAAATATTCTGCTCGGTCACGTTTTGTTGATTTTCAAGAGTTTCGCTTCATCCCTACGAAGAACCACCTCAACAAGATCGTCGTTGTTACAGCCTGGAACACCTTGTAAAATCCCACAACGATTATAATTACTTTTGAAATTAATAATTATATGAAAATGTGCGTTGAAAGATTACAAAATTCGTTCGTTTAATGATACCTGTTGAACGTATAATAACACAATAACATTATTTCGAACACGAATGGCATAACTGTTATACGAAAAATCTTAATAGAAATCGAAAGAGATAAATATTTTTTATCCGTCATTCACTTTCAGAATAAAAATAAACGAAGAGAGTAAGAAAGTCCGACCTGGTCGACAACCAGGTCAGGACTGAACCTTCTTCATCGAGATACACAAGTTACGTGTTAGTGTTTGCAATCAGGAATTCCGCAGGCGCGTGACTCAGAAACATTTTAAAGCTCAGGGACGTCCGATAGAGATTAGCAAAAGCTTCTTTTTGTTTTACTTTATGTTTCGATAGGATCTCACCATTTGATTTTAACGATATCATTGATATATTTTTGTCATCTAATTTAAATTCATCGAATTATTGTTAGAATTATTATGATTTAAAGATATACAAGCATAAAGAGCAGTCTATTTTTAGATGAAACGATAAAATTTGGTGAAACGAAGAAGTTGTTGGTGAAGGTATTGTGTAAAGTGGTTAGAAATTATTTAAAGAAATATGCGGAAAGAGGAGAAACGGCCCTGCGTGCATGAGGCTTGTCTAGATGGTGGTTGATTACGAGCAGCGTACCAGGCACCTCCTACGGTGCCTTCTTTTGGTCTCAGCTTTCTACCCTCGCACATACTATTCTACCGAATATAGGTAAAGAAGTCAAAGCGATCGCGTGGTTAATCGGATCACTTTCATATAGTAAACCTTTCGTGTTCTTTGACCCACTTGCACGAGTGCATCTTTGATCCACCCTAAAAAGCTATCAGATTCGAGTAGAATTCGATACGTATGTTATAGTCCAGGCAATGAAAGGGCGAAGTGCCAAATTTTTGACCACTTTGCCAGAAACTTGATATAATGGTAATTCGACGACGCTGAATCGAATGGTGCAAATTTTTTTGCAATTGGGCCAGGAGATCTTTGAGAAAAAGGGTAAAAAAGGGTAAAAAACGGCCGTATCTTAGAATCTAGGCATTTAATCGAAAAAAGTTTCAAACAAAAGTTGTAG